TTTCCCCCCAAAAAGAAAAGCAGAACCAAACTACATGCAAAGCAGCCTCTGGAAAGGCTGCTAAACTCTTCTCTTTACAGATAGTTCTGCTGACACTATGTAGGCAGTAAAAATTCCATGAGCCTGCAGGAAAGGGAAGGTCAACATAAAAAGCAAGAAAGCACATTCAATGAAACAGGCTTCGGGCAAAGTCAGGTCAGCTGTGAAAATTAAAGACAGCCAAGATATTTTTGGTACTGTTTCCCATACAGTAACTCACTAAACAGGAGATCAGATCCTGACCACTGAATGAAGGGACCAGGGGAAGAAGATCTGAGACAGCGTGTTCAGGGCCACGAAGCAAACATCAATTTTCTATGGCAGTTTTCTACCTCACCCTAATTAAGAAGTCTGGCAGTGTTTAACAATAAAACCTGGCCAGTACATTCAGAAATGTGGATGTCAATAATAAAAGTTGAATCTGGCTAAGGTGTTCCAGGGCTCCACAGTTTATGTTTTTGATTTAACTGTTAGACCAAAAACGATTAACTGGTCTTAGATATTGTTTAAAAATTGCAGTTCTTCCTCACAGCAAATACTTTACAGCATCTGACTGTTTACAGAATTCTCTAAACAATGCCCATGACTTGTTCTCTTCCTGTAGAATTTTTTTTCTCTTCCCTTTTGACATTCTCCTTGCAAATCTGAAGTTGAACAGAACATATGCAACTGTGATTGACCACGCAAGGAACGTGTGTGCGCATTCTACACACGCATATCCCATTGTAATGATGTGACTAGCATCACATTGTAGTTAACGCAATGGAGTTATGCAATGTACTGCTAAGCACTGACTGAAGTCAACAACTTGTCAGTTTTCAAACATACACTTAACTTTTAAGTCACGGAGGACACCGTGTGGACATAGAACAACACTTGCACGTACACGCATTTCTAGGATCAGGCTCTAAAGTGGGGATATTGTATATACTACAGAAAAAGGTAAAGCAATGGTTTCAGAGTATTACATATAGAAGTAAAGGGATGAAATCACAGCAAAGGCAAAAACGTGTGACGTGCATACGAAAGGACGTGTGCTCAAGGGAGACTTATAAAGGTTATGGAGTACCTACTCACTGGGCATATTTAAAAGCTGCAGAAGAAAGAAGACTGAGAAATGTAACTTTGGTGAATAAATGGCACATGAGAATGGGCTGATGTATTAGTGTTTTCAGTTTCTACCTTCCACTGCTCCTTTGTCCTAAAAACCTGCCAGTGAGGGCAGCTGTAAAGTCATCAACTCCAATACAGTAATGTAGTATCTCTGCTGACTGACTTATGTATGGGAAGGAAGAACACCAGCTGGCTGCTGTAATGTGATCAGCAGATATTAAATTTCAAATATTATAAGTCACCTCAAATTTCTTTAGTTCTTCCTTAGCAACCGTGTAAAGCACACCAGAGGAGCTCGGGAAAGCAGCTGTCCTTTCAGAGATTTTTAGCCAGTCTTCAAATCTAGAGTAGTCATCCAAAAACTTTTGCCATAGACGCCACGTCTCTTCAATTCTGCAATAGATAATGGAAAATGAGGGAATGCTTGGACTGAAGGCCAGCTGACCTACCATACTTTAACTTATAATCTGCAATAGCAGACCAGCACTGCACCAAACAATAACTGGCTCTTAACTTAACTCAAACAGCAGGGTTGATAAACAGACAGCAGAAAAGGCTGTCTCATTCCAGAGTGAGCTGGAATAAGATGATGGCAAGTTTTAAAAGCATGCTGCAAATCTAATTTCGGAACCAGTATAAAAGGAACATTATAAGCACGCAATAGGAGCTCTAAAAATCTAAGTGTATGCTAAATAACTTCAGAAATGCAGTCCAGTATAGGTAGCTAAGCAAATATTTTAGAGATGAGGAATTCCACACTACCTACAGCTACAGAAGCTTTTCTTACAGAAAACTAAAGATGCTGCAGCATATATTTTAAACATGAACATTTTTTTTGTATTCACCAAGTAGTAAAATGCTATCTCTCACTATAAACTTTTTTATTAAAAAAAAGTCCATTTTTTCTCTTCATATAAACAATTTGCCTTCAGTTGGTAATGTAAAAACAACGGTGGACTCTTGATTCTGAAATTAAATTGACTAAATACTGAGACTGCAAAATTCTAGCAATTTCAACACCACTTCATTCAAAATAACGTTACCTTACTTGTGGCAGATTGTGTTACAGCAGGACTTTGTCTTTTAAACACAGAGGACATTTTCCCAAATCTTAAACATGTAGGCCTGAAAGGCACCTGATCCGCTCAGTACTTTGAGGTAGAATTTATACTTTATTGATGGTATATTCTCAAATCTAATCTCATGATAGGGATTTCACTGGCCTACAATACCTTGTTCCAGGGCTTAAGCCGTCTGTACTTCTTAAAGTTTTTCTGTGGATGACTGTTTCTAGTATAATAAAAATCTAAAGTACTGATAGTTACTCAATTAGTTTACTGATACAAATCAATTAATAGCATAATGTGTACACTACAAGAAAGTAAAATAGAGACCATTTCAATGCACTGTTTCACATTAACTTAAAGTAATTCTGAATTCATTTGTTGAAGACAAAGATATGAAGAGCCTATACACTTTTGAGACATAATGTGTCTAAGATAGAAATTATAAAAAGTATTTATGTATAAATGTCATAAAAATTACAATAGCAATACTACTAAATTATTTAAATACAGAAAGCTGTGGATATAAATTAGCACAGTTTATAAGCAACAAATTACATGCCTAAGATTAAGAAAACCCTTCCGAGATGCATCCTTAAGAGCATCCCACAAAACCAAAGGCCATATGAAGTTTAACACAGCCTTTTGAAAGGTCATATACTTTACCTACGTAACTGTTTAAACATCATAGAAATCAGATTCATAACTTAAAAAGATACAGAAAAGATCTCCATGAATATAGAAGTTCAAACAACTACTTGAACATGTATTACTGGTTGACACAGAGTATACAGCACTGGCCCAAGGAAGCCTCATTTTTCTGGCTATAAAATTAAGCCATGTTATTCTAGATGGGGATAGAAAGTAATTGATCTTTGTCTTCTCATTGTGTTGCTACACTTCCATCCAGGATTTCCAGACAATCTTCTGGATATAATGGGCATGCAGTGTACAGATGGTCTGAGCATGTGCAGTAAAGTTTAACTATACCCAAGATGCACAAGCACAACTGCCCACACTTGGTCAGTAAAGCTAAGGTGGGCTGAGTCGGAGATTCTAGACAAGTGTTCAAAGTCTTAAAATTCTTCGTAATCCAAATTTTCAGACAAAAGAGAAACTGTTTAGGAACATTAGGTGCATAAAAGCCCTAACATCCAGAATGACATTTCACTCATTCAATAATTTATTTTCCTCATCAGGCTCAGTGGTTCTAGGCTAAACCTAAGTGTTTCAACTTTCTGTTTTAGGTCATGTTTTCGAAAATTCCTGTAGTCACTGCCTCCTCCGAACTTTCTCCAGTTTCTCTCTCATTACGTCTATGAAGCAGCATGAACAAGACATTATTCCATCTAAAGCCTCACAGGAGTAGAATACGACAACTGACATCTCTACCTTGTATAAAGGCACTTGTTAATGCAACCCAAAATTTCATTTTTTTCTTCTGTAGCATGCTAACTATCGTGTTTTATTCAATGTATGATCTTTTCTGACCGTCAGACCCTTTATTTTAGTACTGCAGTCCTACTGCGTACTTCCCACGCTGTGTTTTTGCCCATGGAAAAAAATATTTGCTTGCAGGCACTGTAGACTTACTTAAGTCGTCTTTCCATTGACATTGCACAAATGTTCCTCCACCTTCTGTCCAGATTCCGCGTGGCCTGCTGGATAGAGTCACACTCTGCTTCTGTGGCACAGGCATCGCAGTCGTGAAGAAGCACTTCACACAGATTGAGAACAGATGCCACTCCAGTGCTGTGCTTCTCTATATCCCTCTGAAGTTCCTGCAGTTTAAGAAATTAATTCTTAAGAGAAACTGCAAAGCATGCATGTATGCAAAAGCATTTCTCTTTAACTTATTCAAAACAAAATTTAATGAGGTTATAAACAGGAAAAAAAAAATCAGATGAATATGTATTAAGAGACTACATCTGCGCAAGTGGTGTTGCAATGTTACCAACAAGGCTAGGAGAACGTTGCAGCATGCACAGCTCCCCCAGGACCTATGAACACCAGAACATCACCTGGTATTACCTGTCAGAGCTCTACACATTCAGCTGAGAATCTTTCCCACAGATTTAATCAAAATCACCCTGAAATGGTGGAATTATTCCCTGCCCTTTCTCTTTATCACAGAGAATGTAAAACAGAAGTTAGGAAGAGAAGTGTGTCGAGAAAAAATGTCCTTCTCTACTGCAGGCATTTGGCAAAGGTACCCTTCCTGAGCCTAC